TTGGCATTTTATCTGAGCCTGTAAATGTGTATCTAGCAAAATTCATGAATTCTATTTCCACAGATACTACAATTCACTTTCCAATAAGGTATTAGTATAGGTCAATGAATCTAAAAAGTAACTAAATATCTCTGAACTCGTTTTCACCTTGTAGACTTTGAGTTTACCTTTGTAATAAGAAACTATTAGTTTATGTATACAAGTGTTATTGGAAGTTTATATACAAAAGAATAGGAAGCAGAGACTCTAACACATATTTGTACAACAATGTTCATCGTAGAATTACTCACAATAGCCAAAAGGTGGGAATAACCCAAATGGCCAACAACTAATGAATGTATAAACAAATTGTGGTATATACAGACAGTGGAATATTAGTCACCTTAAACAGGAGGGAATTCTGATATATGCTATAACATGGATGAACCTTGATGAGAGTATGATAAGTGTAATAAGCCAGAAACAAAAAGGAAAATATTTTATGATTTCTCTTTTATGAGGTACCTGGAATAGTCGTATTCTAAGAGACAGAAAGTACAACAGTGGTTACCGAGGACTGGAGGGATGGAGGAGATGGACGGTTACTGTTTAATGGGTACAGAGTTTCAGCTTGAGATGATGATAAACTTCTGGAGATGGAGAAGGAGATGGATACACAATAATGTGTTATGTATAGTTTACCACAATAAAAATGATCAATTAATAAAATCTGTACAGGTAACTGGAACATTTAAAGATACCATGTACAAGTTAACAATTTATAAAGAGCTATACTGTTTCCATTATTTTAAATATATTAAAACACAAAACAGTGTTGAAGTCTCTAAATTGTACAATGAAATCTAAAAAAAGTTATTGTGAAGACTATATAGATGGCATGTTATGTTGTTATGTTTTGCTATGTGCTTTCTGAAATGCATAGCTCAGTAGGCATGTAAAGGGTTTGAATAAAGAACATTGGAGAAAATTATTGTCATTGTACTTATTCCAATAATATTTTACAAAATGGAGAAAATGCATGCATTATATTATTCCTGGAGCTTCAGCTACAAAA